GTCTTGTTATTCTCCCGCTTAGAAGCCCTCCGTGGCTCCCCATTGCCTGCAGAATAAAGTTCAGACTCCTTAGCCTAGCTTTCACAGCTCTCCTGTTTACTCGCCTATCTTTTTTTTTCTAGTCTCTTCCTTATACCCTGTCACCCTATGCCATTTCCTGGCCTTCATACATGCCCTGGCCTCCTGCCACTAGGCCTTGTCCATCCTTGGCTGCAGGCATGGACACTTTCTCTGTCTCCATTTGTCCCCATCTGCTTGCCTGCTTTGGAAGGCTTCCCTCACAACCTCAGCCCACCGTCCCCCTCTCCCTCCTTCTAAATCGCAGCAGTGCTTTGTCAGACCCTTCATAGTGTTCTTAGGATAGCCCAAAGTGTCTAAGTGTTGGGGAATGTGACTTTGTCTCCCGATGGCTGGGGCTGTGTCCTACTAGTCTCTGGATTTCTCAATGCTGGGCATCAAGAAGGTTCAAATTTATTCGGTCCACAAGCATCTCGCGAGTCCCTGCTCTGTCAGGGCGGGCATGTCCTTTCTCCCAGTGGGCAGCCTCCAGCAGGAGTCAGTGGGATTGGGCCATGCGAGGCAGCTTCAGAAGTCAGGCAGACTTGGGGACTTAGCTGAGTGATCTCAGGTTGAGCGTTTAACCTCTCTGGTCTCATGTTCCTTGTTTGTGAACAAGGTTCACGTTCCATGTTTATGTGAACATAAAGTTCACGGTGGGCATGGCGCAGGTGGGCCGCTGCTGCTACTCTGAATGTGTTTGTTATAAGTGCTTGAATAAATTAGCAGTCACCAGATAACTTTTGAGGTCCTAGGACATGTAGGGCTCAATGAGAAGGGCTGGGAGTGTCCAAGGTACCTGTGAGAACCGGGCACTGTCCTGAAGGGCCTCAAAGACAAGTAGGGAAGGGACTCTCACACGATAAGGCCTCGGCAGTTCAGCCCAGGCGCCATGTGCTCATTCCTATTTGAGCAGCAGGAACTGAACCACAGTTGTGTGAAGGGAGCGGGCACCGGGACTGGGGGGGGAAGGAAAGGGCTTTCTGGAAGAAGAGGGAGCCCTACCGGCTCTCCCCCTGGAGGGCAGCCCACACAGACATCTGGGCGGCGCAGGCATTTGGTGAGGGGCTGTCAGACGAGCGAGGAAGTGCCTGCAGAAGGGCTGGAGCTAGGGGAAGAGCGGGCTGGGCGAGGGGCCTGGGAGTGGGAATGTACGCAGTCCGCAGGTCAGTCTGGCTGGTACAGAGGGCAACGCTGAGCAGCCGTGCTGCCAGCCAGGGTGGGCCCATGCAAGTGCCGGGTAGCCATGATAGCCAAGGTGGCTTGAGGGTGGTTGGGGCCAGCTCTCAGCCCCAACCCTAGGGCCCAGCCACCATCCTTCGAGCCTGGGAATCCAGAGCTACAGCACCCATGCATCAGAAAGGTCAGGTGGACCGCTCCGTAACTGCTCTGATGGACAGACCCTGCCCTCCCCCCCTCACCCGGGGGTCCCTAAGATGTGCTGAGCCTGAGGAGACAGGGTGTCCAGCCTGCAGCAGGCCTCCAAGCTGGCCACGGGATTGCTGTAATGAGCACTGCAGGCTGCTTCAGAGCACGGAGCTCCAGGTTCTGCCCTGGCGAGCTTACACTGCAGTGGCCGCTCAGTGAGTCCTGCCACGTGTCCGCCTGGCTCGGCAGGGCCCAGGGCACAAAGGCAGGGCAGCTCCAGCCCTGGGCTCCTGGGGCCCCATCTGGGGAGGAGAAAGGCCATGGCCGTCACTCTGCTGGGGTGAGCACGGAGCTGGGGGTAGGCATGGGCCTCCAGAACACAGTGGACACATCTGAACTCAGCCTGGGGGCTTGGGGAGAGCTTCCCGGAGCAGGTGCCACCACCTCCCATTCCCCAGGGAAGACGGGGGCACAGAGACCAGAGGGGAGAGGGGAGGATTGGGCAGCTGGGGCTCACGGACATCTCTTGCTAACGGCTTCTCGGGTGCCTGCACTCTGAGCAGGAGCGGCGTCTTGTGACACCAGCAGCACCCAGCCTCGTCCAGAGTGGTGGTCTCTTTTAGCAGCAAATCACTTCTCGGCCCCTCTCCCCCAACATGATGGTAGTTGAACTTCGTTGGCTGGGGAAGAACATGGTGGCAGAAAACTACTAGGAACACGGACAGCTTTTAAATGAATGCATTTATTAGTCAGGACACATCCAGAGACCCTGAGAGCCGGTGTGCCTGTGTGGGTGAGCCATCTGGGTTTTGCTTACTCTGCCACATCATTTCCTGAGCCAGCTGTTTTGTAGTCAAAGCCCAGCTGCCACACTGCTATGGGGTGGGGGGAGTTAAGTCAAGGTCAGTGTGTGCCCCCCCATCCCCGCCCCAGGAGCTCTGAGGTCCCGAGGGGCCTCTCAGATGTGGATCCTTCCCACCAGCAGGAGCCTGAGGACCACGAGGGCAGCGATGGGGAAACACACAGTAAAGAGTGTGAGGAGGGCTGGGCTGGGCAGTGGGAGGCAAGTGGGGAGCATCTGCCTAGCCCTGGTAGTCAGGGAGAGCTCTGGAGCAAGGGGGATCTGAAGGCATTAGCCGAAGGAAGGGGTGAGGAAGAACTGGGAACACGAGAAAGAGCAAGGAGCATGGGACCCTGAAAGGACAGAGGGGAATGGGCGATCTAGGGCCTTGCCATATGGCTGCTAGAGGAGTTCGGGGTCTCTCCTGAGGGCGGGGGCGTCGCAGGGAAGGGTGTCAAGCAGGGGTCCTGCGTGATCAGGTTTGCAGATGAGATCCTTGTCGCTGTGGGAAATGGGCTGGTGAGGCTGGAGTAGGGCCCCCAAAGAGCAGAGGAGTGGGATGGAGGGGAGGGGTGCATGAGCCACCTGAGCGAAGCCACGTGACCATGTGAATGCTCGGCCCAGATGGAAGTGGGTAGGGATGGGGGTGGGAAAGTGATAGGGTCCTGGGCTGGGGAGTCTGTGAGGCTGCCAGAGAGAAGTTCCAAGAATGCAAAAAACACTGAGTTTGTTGCCCAGGAGAGGGGCTGGGGACAGATGTGGGTCCCCTCAGCAGCTGGATGAGGAGCTGTATAGACAGCGGGGGCAGACCTTGGGGGCACAGATGGGAGGCACGCAGGCTTCAGAAGAGGCAGTCAGGAGCCTGCAGGGACACGCTGCCAATGGACCTTACCTGCCTGGTCCTCGGAGTGGATTCACTAGGGAAGAGCGTAGAGCAGCCCCAGCATCCCTGACACCCTGTTCCCCTGCCCAGAAGCCCCTGCAGCAGCTGTGGAACGCCATCCTGCTGGTGGCCATGCTCCTGTGCACAGGCCTCGTGGTACAGGCCCAGCGGCAGGCGTCAAGACAGAGCCAGCGGGAACCTGGAGGCCAGGTGAGAGCCAGCCCCTGGGAACCCCCGTGTCCCCAGCCCTCCAGCCTGCCTAACTGTGCCTGCCCTCCCCCACCAGGTGGATCTGCTCAAGCTCCGCGTGGTGCGGAGACTGGCATCCCTCAAGACCCGGCGCTGCCGTCTGGGCAGGGCAACCCAGGGGCCCCCAGAACCCGGTGCTGAGACCTGCGCTGTGTGTTTGGACTACTTCTGCAACAAGCAGGTTAGTGCCGCGGGCAGAGGCCAGCTGTCAGCTGACCTGTGATGTCTCTCACTCTACTCCCGAGAGACCCCAGAACCGTTCCCACCAGGCCCTTATTCTCTCAGCTCCTACTGTAACTAGGAAAGCAGAATGGGGTGTTGGCGGGGGAGGGTGACAGGCCGCAGGGGTTTCAGTTCCCCTGCACAGGTGGGGGGGCCAGGGAGCCCCACTTGGAGGCCTGACTCTGGCCTGAAGCCTTCCCCCACACCCTGCAGTGGCTCCGGGTGCTGCCCTGTAAGCACGAGTTTCACCGAGACTGCGTGGACCCCTGGCTGATGCTCCAGCAGACTTGCCCGCTATGCAAATTCAACGTCCTGGGTAAGCACCAGGGGTGGGGGCCCTTGGCTGGCTTTACCTGCTCCCCACCTGACACCTCCCTCCCTGTTTTTTCCTCCTCCCCTGCAGGGAACCGCTACTCAGACGATTAGCTGCCCCCGCTGGGTCTCTGCATGTGGGCAAAGGACCCTCCCACCTGCACCCTGGCCCTCGGCCTGGGCTCCTGGAACAATACAGCGGGATGGACAGGAAGCCCTGCTGGTTGGAGGAAGGATTGGGGCCTCCCCTGCTGAGGGGCAAGGCACCCCATCATATTCATACTGGGAAGGAGGGACCACGGCCCCCAGAGTCTGGACCTGCCAGTCAAGAAAGAGAAGCCACTTTGGGGCCCCTCTCTACCATCCTGGGGTATCTGTGTCTGCCCTCCTCGAAGGCAGCTCCCAGGACCCTGGGCAGCGGCCTGGGGAAGGAGGTTGTGGGGCAGTGCAGCTGTTCCCAGGGCTCTGGCGGCTCTCTGACCTGTCAGGCCATCCCTGGGGACTAAGACTGCAGTGGCTGGCCGGGTTTTGTGCTTATTTATTGGGGGTTGGGTTGTGGGAGGAGCTATTTGGCCTTGGGGATATCCTGGCCTGACCGTCTTTCAGGACACATCTTGGCCAAGGCTGTGATGTTCAACCCACAGGCCCCTCCACAGATACTGCCCTCAGCCCTGTTGGACACTAGGAGCTGCAAGTGGCCCTGCCTGTTCAGCTGGGCTCCCTTCCCAGGCCTGGCTGGGACCAGAGGCCTCAAAGCCATCCAATCCTGTGCTTCTTGGCCGGGCTATAGGTTGCTGACCAGGATACTTGAAGCTGCAGGATAAATGTGGTGCATCTTTTAGGGACAGCCGGTTTTTTTAGATTTGGGGTAGGGGAGGTTTAATATTGAAGTAAATATGGATATATTTTTAACATAAGAGATCAGATTTGTGTGGATGTCTTAAGACAGAAAAGTCACCTTGGGCTCTGCTGTCTGTGGGAAGGAGGTTCTAAGACGGGTCCCAAGATCCCCCCCGCCCAGCCCTCATGAACACGCCTTGTAAACCTGCAGCTGGGAGTCAAATGGATTTTACCCCCATGATTCGGTTATATTTTATGGCACAGTTGACCTTAAGATGGGGAAGGTATCCAAGAGGGCCTGACCTAACCACGAGAGCCCATTAGAAGCAGAGTTTTCTCTGGCCTGGTGGAAGAAGAGGAAGTCAGAAAGTTGAAGCAGGAAGGGCATTCAGTGTATGACAAATTCTCTGTTGCTGACTTGATGATGGAGGGAGCCAGGCGGCAAGGGAGGCAGATGGCCTCTACGCGCTAAGAGTGGCCCCTGGTGACAGCAGCCACAGCAAGGAGGTGGACCTCAGTCCTACAGCTGCAAGAATCGGAATTCTGCCAGCAATCAGAACGAGTCTGGGAGTGGGTTCTTTCCCAGAGCTGTCAGAAAGGAATGTAACCTGGCAGATACTTTGACGTGAGTCTTCTAAGATCCTGAACGGAGAACTCAACCACAGGGCCTGAACTTCTGACCTCCAGAACTGTGAGCAGAGGGGAACTGAGCTGTGATGGGTCCTCCCCCTGGACTTGGGCCCACGCCTCTTGCCTCAGGGACCCCACCCCAAGGGCTGGCTCTCGCCTGTGAAGGGCAGGGCCTGGGCATCCCAGTCTCCCTCAGCAACGCCAGGCTCCACAGAAGCCAGAGTTGGGCAGATAGTGGCCATGGCAGTTCAGCTACACACATGGCCCTTCTCGACCCTTCTCTGTAAACTGAGGCACTCTACCTGTTGGCCTTCTCACCAGGGGAAAATGTCATAGGAAGCTGGGAGTGCCCACCCTGAGAAGTCCTGAGCAAGGCCTTAGAGCCTGTCCTTCACTGACATGGTGACTCGGGGCAGGCTGGAGGCTTCGTGGAGAAAACTGGACTGTGGGCCTGGCGTGGCTGGGTGGCATGAGTGCTGGGGCCCCAAGAGACAGGTCTGGGAAAGCCAGGGCTTGCTGGGTGTCCCACTGTCTGGTTAGGTGAGGCCTTGCCCTGCCTTCTAGGGATCCAACCTCCTGGATTTAGAGAAACCCTTTGTGACTCACATTTCCTGAAGGTGAATAGTTCCTTAGTAAAAGGAGGACTGACTTTCTTGGGTCCTTAATGTCCCCATCCTGGGTTCAGGGCTGGGGCTGGGGAAGGCTTCCCTGGCCTCTGCCTGCCTCTGTGAGCCCAGAGCCAGGACCCCCTCCTCTGACTCCTTCCTCACTGGACCTACCTTGGCAGCTGCTTTCCTTCCCTGACATACCCCCTACCCTGACCCTGCTCTCCATTGGTAGGGGTCGCTGAGCCCATGTCACCGTTTTGCCCTTGTTATGGGGGTTAGAAGACTGCCTTTGGCCTGGCCCAGGTGCTAACGCTTCTTTCTGTCCTTGGTGCTCTCTTCTCCCACTGCCCTGTCAGGACAGAGGCAGGGAGCGCTCACTTACTGAGGCCTCACAGTGTGCCAGGCCTCTGCTGGCAGATGACCTGCAGGGCCTGGGGACTCGGTGGTCCCTGCCCAGAACGGGGAAGGAAGGACTCTGCCTCTGGCTCAGCCACTGCTGTGAGGCCAAGGAAGCTGTGGGCACATGGCTGGGGCTTTATTACATTGAAGGCTGCCAGCTACCTGCCCTCCAGCCCCACTGTCCGGCAGGCTACGTGGGCCGCTCCTGGGGCTGGTATGCAGGGCTGGCCTGGCCCTGGCCTGGTGACAGTCTTCTCCTCAGCCTGGCCAAGGCCCGGATGGGGTTCTGAGCACAGTTGGTTGAGTGGGTCATGTCCTCCAGGGAGGACCCGCTGGGCCGACTGCAGGATGGCTGAGGTGGGGATGCCCGGCGCTGGCATGGTAGGGTCCTGCCCGCGCTGGCTGTCCTGCGGCTAGGCAGCTGCCGCCTGCCCAGGGGCCTGGGGGAGGACCAGATGGCAAGACCCCCTGTGAGTGAGGGGGACCAGCCCACCCCTGTCTGCCCCACCTCCATCAAAGCCTTACTCACCCTGGGGATGCGTTCTGGGCCTGGGCTGGGGACACTGTTCCCTGGATTCCCTTGCTGGGAGGGGCCCAGAGCTGGTCCTGGGGGATCAGCTGCAATGAAAGGCAACTTCAGAAAGGCCCAGGAAATCTCTCTACGCTGTTCAGCGAGGGTGTCATTGCCATGGAGGAGAAGGGAGGGCCCAAACCCAAACCCACAGCCCCTTCCTCTCAAGGACAGGGTTTGGGGAGCCTTCCAGGGCCACCCCAGCCACGGTAAGTGTGGGAAGTTTGGCTTTCTGACAAGGTTCCTGGTTGTCCTTGAAATATAGGCAAGAAGAGCTGGAGGGAGAATTTTGGAGCCGGTAGGCACTGTGCCACCCACATGCCTGCTTGAAACGCGGAAACCACATGTGATGAGGCAGGCTTGCAGTAGGTTCCCAGGGTGGGGTCTGAAGACCTGCTGGGTCAGGGGCCTCCTCCAAGTCCCCAGGGGCCAGCCCTCTCAGGTTGAGGAGCCAAGCTGCCCACCTTGAGGCTCCCCTGCTGGGCTACCTCCCGGATTTTGGACAGCATAGACCGGAGCCGCCCATTCTCCTCCTGCAGGACCCGGATGCGGATGTCATTGGCCTGTACCTGCCTCTCCATGTCATCTGTAACATCACCGGAGCCTGCAGGGACATACTCTGTTACCTCACCCCGCCAGGGCTGCCTCTGGTGCCCAGTGGAACAGGACCTCCGAGGGCACACACGCCAGCTGGGGTATGCCTTGGGTTGGTGGCCTGGCGAGCACAGGGGAGCCGAGCAGGTCCGGGGACCAGGCGCCCCCCCCCCCATCTTCCTTCTCCTGAGGCCTTGTCCTGGTTTCCCACCCCCTACCTGCTGGGAGGTGACCAGCATTGTAGAATTTGAGAGCTGAGTGGGACCTCAAGCTCACTGAAGACTTTGTAACTAGACAAGAGAGTGAATCTCTTCCAAAGCCTCCTGTTTTCAGAAGGCCAGAGAGACAGCGAGGTGTCTCAAGTCACGCAGCCAGCTCTTGGGTATGAGTCACAGGAATTCAGCAAACACGTTCTTTCCCACCACTTGGGAGATGAATGCTTTCTTTCTGACTCTGAACCTGAGCAAGTTGCTGCCTGCTTTGGTTCTCGGTCTTGTGGTTTGTGAAAGGGCTGTTACCCATCTTATGGGGTGGATCAAAGGACAACAGAAGGGCCTGGCACATAGTGCTCAGGACTGATGACTTAGCGTGACCAGCTAAATTGCAGTGGATCTTCCCGACAGCTCCACAAGTGGATTCACCACCCAGGGGTGAGGGCTGGAGGGCCTGAAATGAGAACCTAGGTTGCCTGGCATCTAGTCCTCTGCTGAGACAGGTACCTAGCACTCCTGTACCATGGGGTGCATGACACTGGACAACTGGGGCGGTGCCCCTGAAGCTGACCCCGTGGTGTGGTTTGGGGAGACACCAGGACAGGGGACACCAGGACACTGAGCAAGGACTGGCATGTAACATGGTAAAGAGCACAGGCTACAGAGGCTGTTAGACCTACACACAGACTCAGCCATTCGACAGTGGGCAGTCCCCTCGCCTCTGGGCTTCTGTGTCCCCATCAAACAGAGTGGCTAACACATGAAGCACCTGTGTGTCCTGGGGACTCAGTAGGGACCGTGCTGCAGGCTGGGGAACTACAGACTCCAGTGTCTTGCCCAGGTGAGCCCTCAGCTGCCTGTCCGGGCCACAACATGCCCTGGCCACCACCTCTGGGCCCCTACTTGGGATCTGGGCCTCGATGGGTCTGTGCAGGTCTGGAAAGGCCACCAGCAGCCGCTCCCGCTCCCGCAGCTCCACGAGCTCTCGTTCCAGCTCCGATATGGTCAGCCGCAGGTCCGTCGTGGCCTGCTCCAGGCCTTGCTTCTCCCGTTGCAGGCTCTGCAGCAGCTCCTGAGGCAGGGGGAGGCTCAAGCCTTGCCCAAGGAATGGCTCCCGGCTCCCCTGGGGACACCCCCCTCCCATCTAGACACGGGACAGGCCTGCAGGCACTCCGCCTGGAGAAAGGGAAGAGCCGTCCCGCACCCTCACCCTGCTGGCTCCTACCTGCTGGGCCAGGAGCTGGCTCTGCCCCTGCTCCCTCTCACTCTGTACACTCTGCAGCTGCTCCTCCACCTGGGCCCGCCGGGCCTCGGCCTCGTCCAGGCTGCCCCGCAGCTCCTCACGCTCCCGGTCCAGGCTGTCCAGCTGCTGCAGCAGGGCTCGCTGTTTGGACTGCAGGGACTGAGCCAGGGCGGGCAGGCAGGGAAGCCGTGAGGCCCACTGGGCAAGGCCCAGCCATGGGACAGGGGAGGACACGGCATCTCTGACCCTCCTCCTTGTGCCCCGTCTGTGCAGAGAGGAGGCTGTGCACATGTGTGTAGCAGAAGGGGCCAAGGCGAGACAGGTGCACACCGCACTGGACCCCTCCAACCCAGTCAGGGCCAGGCCCCCCAACTTGCAGACCCCTACCCCTTTGGAAAGCATTTGATTGACTATCAGTCTCGTCCCCTCTCTTTCCAGTCACAGTCTCCACTGGGAGAGGAATTCTGGGCATACATTTTCTTCTCCTTAGGTCTCCCGTGTCCCATCAGCCCACCTCACTTGGGACCCACTTTTCCTGACACCCACTGAGTGCAAAGCAGGAAGAACCAGTGCCGGTCTGCTCCAAGTCCTGGCTCTGCCTCTGGCTAGCTGTGCAGCTTTGGGTAATTTCCTTAACCTCCCTGAGCCTCAGTGTCCTCATCCATAAAATAGGGATGATGAGAGTATCTACCTCCTATTGTTGTGGTGAGGAAGAACAACAAGAGGGCTACGAGTCCGAGGTCCTGCACCTTGTTCACAGCACATATCTGATACCTGGTGACCATGACTGTTCGCAGGGCACTGAGAAAAGCACCTGCTTCATTGAAAGGCTTTCTCAGCCTGGGCCATGCCTGATGGTGGGGACTTCTACCTGGGGTCTTGCTTTCCCCACCGAGCCTCTGAGAGTAAGACCAGTCAGGACAGTTCTCAGCCCTACCCCTGCTCTAAGTGGCAGGTCACTTGCTCCCTCAGCCCTACCCTTAAGGATTCCTACAAGGCCCCAATGCCCAGGGCACAGCTGTATCCTGGGCCTCGGTTCACCCTTTGTCCTCCCTGTCCTTCCTCTGACTGATGGACTGATCATTAGCCCTTGGCATCCAGTTCAAAGGCCACTTCCTCCCAGAAGCCATCCTGGATTTCCACAAACAGATGGGGCTGTCCCTCTGTGGACCCCTGCAGTACTTTCCCCGCACCTCTTAGCCATCTGATGGCAGAGCTATGGTGGCCTAGCTGCTTGTCCTCAAGGGGTGGCGGGGCGTTCCTCCAGAACAAGGCCTCCTTTGGCTGTATCTGTCCCTGGATCACTGTTTCCCCAGGGCCCGGGGTTCAGGGGAGGGCTCAAACTCTTGGTAAAGATCAAACAAAAACCTGGGTGTGTGTTTGGGAGCAAGGTACCCCACCCAGGTAAACCCCCACCCCCCACCAGTGGAGCTCTCTCTTCCTGCAGCCTACGTCACAGACACCCCCAGGTGCTGGGGGCCTCACCTCCTGGTGGCGGACCATGCTGTCAACACGGGCCTTCTCCTTGTCCAGTTCTGTGCTGGCCCAGCGGATCTGCTGGCTGGCCCCATCCAGCCGCCCTGCTAGCAGCTGCACCTGCTCCTCCAGCTGCTGCACCTGCCTCTCGGCCTCTGCCCTGCGCTCGGCCTCCTCTTGAAGCTGCCGGGCCTTTGTCTCTGCAGGATTGAGTGGGCACAGGAAGGGGGAGAGCAGGCGAAGCCTGGGTGCAAGTCCCCGCACTGCCTCTGACCCAGGATGGGACCTGAGGTGGGGTGCGAGGGGTCACAGCCTGTCTCTGCGCCTCAGTGTCCTCAGCACAAAATGCGGCTCTCAACCCTTCCACGGAAACAGAAGGTGCTCTCTGGGTGGGAGGTGGCACCCCAACTCCAGCCATCACCCAGCAGTGTGGCCAGTCAGGCCCCATCTCATGGTTCCCAGAAGCCCGGGAGACAGACAGAGGGTGCTCATCCAGCTGCACCACCGAGCACAGCACACGGGGTACAGGGCCACATGATGGGGGTTCCTCACCTATGGCCTGCATGGATTCCTGTTGCTGCTTCAGCTCCCCCTCCAGGGTGGCCACCTTCGTCTTGAGGTCACTTGTTTCTACGGCAGTCGAGAGAGAGAGGCCCTTCAGAGGCTCCCTTGGGCCTGGCTGGTGCCTTCATGCCCAGCGCACCCTGCAGCGTCGGGGCAGCCGGTGCTGTGTGGAGTGGCTGCCTGGGCCTGCAGAAGGTGCCAGAAGGCCTGGGTTCCTCTTCCCCCTCCTTCCTATTGGCTGGCTGCCAGGTCTCTACATGGCTCTGGGCCTCCACAGAGGTGACAGGCTCAGGAAAGTGACCTGCCCAAATCCCTCAGGCCTCCCACCACCAGCGGGCACTGGCTGTCTCTCTGCCTCAGCTCCCCCGGGGGTCCCCCTCAGGGACACACAGGAGTGGGCGGATGAACTCCCTGGCTCCCGTGCCCTCGGAGGGGCCAGCCCTGAGGCACGTGTTCTACACCACCAGCTCCAGTGCTCCCCGGTGGGATGAAGCTCTGGTTGCCTGCAGGGTAAGCAGCTTGCTGAGCTGCCTTCCCTCGGTGTCTCTGACCCCACTGCCTAGCCTGCGTTTCTTCACCCCAGCGATGTGTCCCTGCAGCCCTGCGCTAGGGCTGCAGCAGGGCCCAGGGACTACGGGCCCGGCCTCCGGGGCACAGACCTGTGAGCAGCTGCTGCCTGTTACGCCCCCACTCCACCAGCTGCCGTGCGGCCTCGTCCGCCTGTCGCCGCCGCTCCCCCTGCTCCTCCTGCAGGGCTTGCTCCAGCTGGCCCACCTGCTGCTTCAGCCCGTCCTTCTGCCCCTCGGCCTCTTCCAGCTGGGCCCTGAGTGGCCCAACAAGCTGACTGAGGGCCTCCACGTGCTTACTGAGGCGGGTCAGGTCTTTGCTCTGCTCTGCTGCCCAGTGGCCCACGGTGGCGGCCGGCAGCGGCCTGAGGCCCATGCTGTCCTGCACCAGCTGCTGGAATTGGCCTAAGGACGAGGGCAAGTTCTGGCTCTGACACAGGCCTATGAGCACCTTGCCCACCTCCCGCAGGCTGCCCTGGACGCTGGTGCATGCATCACAGGGCACCAGGGCCGTCTCCACCGTCTGGGAGTGAACGCTCCTCCTGTTCTTGGCAGTCCTGGCTGGACACTGCGGGGAGACTCTGACGGGGAGGCTGTCCGGCTCTTGGCAGGTCTGGGGCAAGCCTGGCGTCGGGGAGGGGGGCTTGATGAACTTGGCAGTCACAAATTCAGGGCTCCTGGCTGGCTCGCCCTTGGCTGTGGGCTTGGAGGTGAGGTTCTCCCCTTGGTTTACCCTTTTCTGTGGTCAGGAAAAGAAAGGGAGAGCAAATGAGGGAGATGGGCCTGGGAGGGGATCAGTTTCCTGGGGATTATTCTGTGCAGCCTCTCCTGATGCTCAGACCCTTAGAGGTTATCTGACACCAATGTGAACGAGAGAGAACCTTCTTTCTTCGCTGCCTCAACTTACCAAGCAGGCCAACTCTCTGCTGCCCCTGTCCCCCTCCCCAGGCTCCGTGCAGTTCCGTGCGTGGTACGAGAGTGTAACAGTGAAGCCACCAGCTCCGTGCTGGTTACGGGGTTCTTGCCCAGTGGACCTGCTTGTTCTCATGTCACCATAGCAGCTCTCAGTTTTCCTTTCCTCCCTGTTATGGTGATTGTGGTCCTCATGGGGATTTGTGAAGATTACAGGATAAGCCATAACAAATGGTGTGAACATTTAACAGTATCATCCAACAACGCCCCGAGACGTAGAGACTGTTATTATTCCCACTGTACAGATGAACAAAGTGAGGAGCAGGGTAGGCTCAGCATAAACAGCAGAGCCAGGGAGCCCAGACATGACCCCCAAGGCCTGCAGTGCTAACTGCGCGCTGCAGGGGCCTTGACTGGGAGGCTCCAGAGTTGACACTGTACCCCTTCAGACAGCGTGAGGCCAGTGAAGGTGTGCACGCGTGGTGTGCAAGGAAGCTGGGACTGGGGCAGGGCGGACAGGTGTGAGGGTGACTAACCCACCTGGGGAGCTGCCTGCTGGTAGATCACACCCAGCCTCAGCAGGCTGTTCCAGAAGCGCCGCACCGTGAGCCCCACAGACATGCAGGGCCCCACAGCCCGGGTAGGGGGCACTGTCTGCTCCGGACCGAGGTCCTCCAAGAAGCTCGTGCAGCTCTGCAGCAGCAGCAGCAGCCTGCGGGCAGGACGGCAGGGTCAGCTAGGGTAGAGCCTGGCACCAGCGTGCTGCGCGCCACACAACTAGCAGCCTCTGCTCTGTGGACCCGGGGGGCCTTAGAACATGCTCTGCTGGACCGGCTTCAAATCCAAGAGCCACTTCCTCCAGGAAGCCCTCCCTGGGGGCTGAACTTGGGGGCGTCTTCTGGGCCTCCTGGCTGACAGCACTTCCGCCTGGCTGTTCCCCACCACACTGGGATGCTCTGGCCGACTGGGTCTCGCTTCAGTTGTCCTGCGCGTGCTCCGAAAGTGCTGGGTGGGTGGCGCCATTACATCACGTGGCTCAAGCCTTCACCTTACAGAGGACAGAGCTGAGCCCCTGGGAGCGGAGGGCCTGCCCACAGCCTCAGGGTGAGCATGCAGGGCTGGGGCGCCTGCAGCTTCCTGATTCTAGTCAGGGTCTTCTCCTGCCCGGCAAGCTGCTTCTGTGACATCGGAGACGTGAAGACAGCTAGGGGTCTATCCTGACTTCAGTGTTCAAAATTAGAGTCGGGCTACTTTTAAGGAAGAGAGGCATGAGAAGGACAAGTTTGTATGTGCATGGGAACCAAACTCTTTTAAAGGAAGAGGTATTGTATTTACAAAACATACTGGGCAGGTAAGTGACCTTGTCTTGTTCCAGGTGCAGAGGGGTCATCCTAAACTCACTAGGGTCTTGGGCAGAAAAGGCCTGGGGGAGGAGACACCAACTGCCTCCAGGCCCTGCCCCTCGCTGAGCTGAGGTGTCTTCCTCTGTGAATGGGGACAACTGTGCCGGTTGCAGTGCTGTGGGCAGCACGGTGTGGGGCGGGGGGGGGGGGGGGGGGCGCCTGGAAAGAAGACAGAGCATGGTCTTGACAGAGGGGGTGGGAAGACATGTGAGCAACAGCTTCACAGGGGCATAGGGAGACTGGGCCTTGATGGATGAGTGGGGCTTGGCCAGACCAGGAAGGACGGGCAGGGCGTTCCTAGTAGAGGGTGGCAGGGAAAAAGCAGGTGTGTTCGGGGCGCCTGGGTGGCTCAGTCGGTTAAGCATCTGCCTTTGGCTCAGGTCATGATCCCAGGGATCATGGGATCGAGCCCCACATCGGGCTCCCTGCTCAAGGTGGAGCCTGCTTCTCCCTCTCCCTCTGTTCCTCCCCGCCCCCTACTCATCTGCTCTCTCTCTCTCTCTTAAATAAATAAATAAAATCTTAAACAAACAAACAAACAAACAAGAAGGAAGGTGTGTTCTGTGCTTATACATGTTTAGCCTCTCACGGGTTCCAAATACTTTCATACTGAGGGTGCCTCCATGCCTCTAGGTGGTTACCCTGGCTTCTTTGTCCCCAGGCAGGTCATGCCCAAACTGTCCTTGCCTGTCAGGTCTCCATGATTTCTGTGTATGGTTTGGTCACAGGGAACCTGGGTGGTGGTCCCCAGGAAGTGGAAGGCTGATGGCCATGTTAAGTTTAATGAGAGCGTAGAACTAGAGGGGCTGCGGGGCAATCTTCCCAACAGGGCCAGAATCTGGAAAAACACATCCCATGTCTGACCTTGTGACACACACTGGGAATGGCACAGCCCATAAGACACCAGGAAAAAGGGCCTGGGACGGAAACTCTGAGCAGCAGCTGTGGTGTCCCCAACGCACGGAAGGCCTAAGGAGGCGGCCAACAGAAGCTGGAGAGGTGGCCCTCAGAGCTGCAGTGCTGCAGAGACCAACAGGTCTCCCTGAGGGCAGACAGGAGGGGAAAGCACAGCACGCCACACAAGCTGAGATGGCGATGAAGGCCTTGAGGTGGCAGGCCTCTGGATCCCTGCTGGGGGGGGACGGGAATTCCCGAGGCTGGTCTACCGGTTTAAGGGGCAGATGCCAGCATCCCGAGATCACCAGGTTCGGTCAAGGCCCTCACCTGTCGATGACCAGCTCCAGCAGAACAGCATGGGACAGCTGCGTGAACTCGGGGTCACCCGGCACATGGTCATAGTGCTCTAGCAGGGCCACCATGTCCAGGTCGCAGGCCACGCGGTCAGGGAACTTCCAGGAGGGAAAGTGCACAGGCCCGGCTCGAGAGAACACATCCACGATGGCGCCCTGCAGGTCAGTAAGATCCTTGCGCAGACTGTCCATGCAGGACTGGCTGCCCAGCAGGTACGCCATCCTCGAGGCTCCTGGGGTGAGCAGAGAGGGTCCCCGTTAGCCAGAGCCATGTGGCTGCTGCTGGAGGAAACTTCCTAAAATCCCGCTCTGCCCAGTCGGTCCTAGGCCAAAAGTCCAACCTAGACCCTGGGGAGAAGTCTTTCCCGGGCCCAGGCCATGGGCCCATACCTGGTACTGGAGAGACCTCACCATAATCCCGCTCATCCACCCTGCCCCACATCTATACTGCCAGTTCCCTCCGAGGGCCTGTGTGTGCCAGACCCCTGCTAAAGGCTGGGCAGATACAGCTATGAATAAGAAGCACCCACAGTCCTTTTCTCCCTGCGCAAACCATTGACTAGGCAACTGACGACTAAGAGAAAGTTGTAGCTACAGCGTGACAGGACAGTGCTGGATCCTGCTGGATCTCCCACCTGGACCACCGCAGCTGTCTCTGGCAGGGCCGCAGGGCTGCCCCCTCCAAATGACACACTTCAGCTCTAGAGATCTGGCCCAAACCGGATCTGATCAGGTCACGCTGGCCAACGCCCCTCATGACTCCTAAGGGAGAAAGGCCACCTCTGGCCGCAGTCTCCCCGCAGCCCTCTCTGGTCCCCACACCACCACCCCACACTCTGCATTCCAACCCCTGTCAGCTCCAAGCAGCAGCTCAGGTGCAGGCACTCATTTCTGAACTTGGGCCCATCTGTCCATTCTGTCTGAAACACGCTTTCCTCATCCAATTCCCATCTGCCTAATTCCTCCCATCCTTCGGGCTTCCTGGATATCACCTCCTCCAGGAAGCCTTCCCTGAGCACCCTCCAGGCTAGGTGAGATCATGTCTCTGGGCTTTCCCCCATCTGGGCCCTGATCCCTCTCTGCTGGAATGGCCTCCACGCTCCAGGCCAGGTCCCCAGTCCACCTTAGCCACTGTGGTATCCCCAGTATGGCCAGCCTAAGGCCTGGCCCATGCTAGAGGCTCACTGGCAAGTGAATGACTGAGTAATTGAATAGAGAAATTGAAAAGAATCCACAAAGAAAAATTTAAATACATTGATTTTGGAGGGGGGAAACAAGTCTTAAGGTGTAAGAGAGGAAAACCTGAAAATTTGTATCCATACCCAACCCAATCACTCTGGTGATAGGGGGCCCATTATATGTGAATGCAGAGAGTCCCAGTCCTGCCTTTTCCTGGCTGTGTGGCCTCAGGCAAGTCACTGTACCCCTATGAGCCCTAGCTGTCTCAGTTGTAAGATGGGGACACGATCCCCAACCAGGCCGGGTAGTTGTGAGGTCATTAAAGGCATCCAAGAGTAAAGTGCTTGGGGCGCCTGGGTGGCTCAGTTGGTTAAGCGACTGCCTTCGGCTCAGGTCTTGATCCTGGAGTCCTGGGATCGAGTCCCACATCGGGCTCCCTGCTCAGTGGGGAGTCTGCTTCTCCCTCTGACCCTCCCCCCTCTCATGCTCTCTCTATCTCATTCTCTCTCTCAAATTAAAAAAAAAAAAAAAAAAAGAGTAAAGTGCTTGGCGCAGGGCAAAGACACCAGTAAAAGTGCTCGGGCAGTAGGGACCATTAGTCTAGTGATTACTACTCTTAGCAGTAGCAACAGCAAAGACCATCCTTGTCTGTAGCCACTGCCTGCCTTCTGTATGTCCCCTTTCCCCCCTGCAGCCCACACAGAATGCTTCTCGTCCATCTCTGGAGTCTGTGGACATCTGAAGCCAATGATTTGGATGAATGGCCCCTGGTCCTTGACTCAGAAGGTGGAGAAGCATGACACTGTCCTGGCCCCTCCAGTGGCTCATCACAGGCCTTGCCAGTGTCACCCTCTTCTCTCTGTTCAAAGCTGGGCAGCCCTGGTCTCTCCCCACCCTGCAGCAGGGTCTCTTGTCCTCTGTGGATTTCTCAGCAGCAGAAAGTGCTTCCTTGTACCACAGCTCCTCCCTGCAGTGTGGGGGCTGCGTGGGCAGTATTTAGGCCATGGTCGGTCTCTCTGATCCCCAGCAAGTCCAGGCCTGGTGGAGGAATCTCTCTTCCTCCGACCTACTTCCAGCTCAACCTCACTCATCCCAGAAAATGGCACCCCGACTATGTGCAACGGGGCACTTCCTCGGATTCCTTTCCTTTACCCCCATCCAAGCACCTAGGGCTGCCAATCCCATGTCCAGACCACACTGAGAACCCACCACTGTGTTCGCCGTGCTGTTCCCTACTCCATCTTCTCCCCAGACTACTGCCACAGCCTTCTGAGGGGTCACCCTCATCCTTCTGCCCAGCACCACCTCGTCTGTCTGTATATGGCCAGAGTGATCATTTAAAAGGCAACTCACCCCCCTGCTTAGAGCCCTTGAATGGCTTTCTATAGAATAAACACTGGAACACTTCCCTGGGTTCTGGCCCTGGGTGGTCTGTTCCCACCTCAGCATCTTACCACCCAGAATGTGCCTTTTCCTCCCCACACTTACCCCAAATAACACACCTCCCACAGGTCCCCAGGCCAGGTGAGTTCACCTGTTACATATTCTCAGAGCATTCTGTTCTTTTCCCTCCCAGCATACGCCACACTGGCACTGAATTATTATTTGAGTAATTATTTGCAGTTGGCAATCTGTCTCCCTACAAGTGCATGGACTGTCTTTTGAGTTCATTGTGGTATGACCTGGCCACGTGGGCCAAAGGACTTAAGGGCCAGCTGCTGCCCACAGGTCCGGGACACTCAAAGGCACCCAGGGGTGATTCCTGAAGACTGAGCCAGCCTCTCAGGCCTCCCAGAGGACTGGGCCCTGGCCTCACCTCTGCGCAGGTGCCTGCCTGTGAAGCTGGATGTCTGGCTCTCAGGCTAGCCTGTGGGCTCTGGGGCTCAGGTCAGAGGCTCATCCAGGTGCCTGGTTTTCTGTCTCCAGTGCAGGGCTGGCCCCGAGTAGCTCTTCAATCCCTGAGAATGGATAAAGGCAAGAGTGAGTGAGTGGGCAATTAGGGAGGCTTCCTGGTGGGGCAGGGAGGAGGCTGTCCCAGAAGAAGGAGAGGGTGTCCCGGGCTGGAGGAATGGAGCAAGGGAAAGCTCATCTGGGGTCATCTGTCTTGAGCCCGAGCACAGAGGTTGTGCTTTAACAGTGCTAGGCTCTGACCACAGAACCTACTGTGTGCTACTTCCTGAATCTACCTCCTTTATACAGACGAGGAAACTGAGGCTCTGGAAATTAGGGGATTAACTCAGGGTCACTCAGAGAGCTAGGATTCTTGAATCCAACATCTCTGCTCTGTCTTCAGGCCATGATGCTTCTAGGGCAGCACTGTCCAAAAGGAATATAATGCTAGCCACACGTGGGATTTTAAATTTTCTACTAGCCACAAAAAAAAATAAAAAGAAATGGGTAAATTAAATATTTTATTTAACCTAATAAACCCCAAATACCATCACTTCAACACGAAATCAATATAACACCATTAAGGAGATTATTTTACAGTGTTTCCTCCATTCAGTCTCAAAATCCAGTGTCTCTCTGATACTTACAGAACATCTCAGTTCGGGCCAGTCACCATTTTCAAGTGCACCACCACATGGATGGGTGGCCACCGTACTGAACAGTGCAGGTATAGAGGGTCAGATCCTCTGTGTTCAGTAAGCAAATGATTACTGCGTACCTTTGACATCCTGGGCACCGTGTCAAGAAAAGCGTCAGAGAAGGCCATGCAGAGCCCTGTCCCTAGGAGCTACTGTCTACCTCTCAGGATCTCTACAGGGGGCAAGTCTTTGGTATGTCAGCTCTGTCAGTTTCACCCACAGGGCCAAGAGTATCTACTCTACAACACTCACAAACACACACAGGCCCACATCCCTGTACACATATGTCAGTGTCAGACTCTTGTGAGATATTGCCACTTGTGAGATTTTATATCCCCAAGGAATGAGGCAGAAACAAACGGAAAAAACAGACTGACATATTCTGGGTTTCCTTCCTGGAATGGGAGGGAGGAAAGCAAGCAAGCAGGCAAGCAGTCCCGCCCTGGGAGGAGGCATATTCAGGTGGCAAAGCACCTAGGACTCGGGAGCTTGTCTGTGAAGACATCGAGAAACACGGACCTGTTCACCCTCAAATAACTACAGCTGCCATCTGGGGCCATCCGAGATACCAACTCCTGTTAGATTCTGGTTCTGATAAGCAACCACAAATGCCAAAGCATCAATAATATGTAAGAGGAAAACACAACCTTGAAAAACATCCAAGGTTACCTTATGTCATTTCTTCTGAACATTGGGATTTGCCGTTATAAACATGGCTTGAGAACCACTTCAGTGTGTGGCAAGTGAAGGAGCATTTGTAATTCTTTTCTCTGTAATTCCTGGGTCTTGAGTGGAACCCTCAGCCTAAAGCTGCTAACCCTGCACTGACCATTCCTGAGATCGTATGGGTGATGGCACTAATTGGGCCAACACTGCCCTGAGGAAGGAGCAGCCCCTAACTCTGCCCTCTCCTCAGTTCCCTCATGCTCAAGATGGACTTTTGACTTGCAGAATAGGGAAGGAGTCTTTCCTCCATTCCCATTCAACATGCAAGCCCCTTCTTTCTCTGAGTCATAGGACTCTACCCCTCTGGTAATGATTAGGCCTACCTCCTGGCCAGTGTCCCTGCTGAGATTCAAGGTCACCACCATGAAAACACTTTGGAAACTCTGAAACCATCTATAAATCCCAGCTGTCAGCCTCTGACTCAGGACTGCTAATTGCCTGGATCCCTGGGGACAATGAAGGGACTGAGTGAAGACAAAGGAATAAGTAGCTGCACTAGTAGAGGAGTAAGAATGGCCTGGGTTTGGATTCCCACGCCACCAACTCTGAACTTCACTGTCCTCATCTGTAAATAAATTGCTATTAGAAATTAGTGATGTAGGGAAGCCTGGATGGCTCGGTTGGTCAAGCTCAGTTCATGATCCCAGGGTCCTGGGATGGAGTCCCGGCTCCTTGCTTAGCCAGGAGCCTGCTTCTCCCTCTGCCTGCCACTCCCCCTGCTTATACTCTCTCTGTCTCTCTGACAAATAAATAAATAAAACTTAAAAAAAAAAAAAGAAATTAGTAATGTAATGCATGTAGTGTCTGGCACAAGATCTGGCCAGGTAAATGTTCAATAAATCCTAGCTATCATTATCATTCTGTTAATAATTACAACAATGACATAAACCAGCTATGAAGTGTGTGTATGTGTGCGTGTGTGTGTGAAAAAGAGATGGGGTAAGACACTTGGGAGGGCATCTCTTCCTATCCCGCCTCCATTTCACAGGTGAAGAAACTTAAAACTATCCAGGCAAGGGCTAAAAGCCGGCGGGCAGTCTGCAGCTGGGATGGAGGGGAGAGGGGACAAGGAGGACAGGATCTCAGAAGAGGAAATGCGAACGGCGAGATTCGAGGTGAACTCGGGGAAGCTAGGGAAGTGGTCAGCAAGAACGTACCTTTGGGAAAGAGGGATGGAGCTTAAAAAAGTCTTGATTCGAGACTGTCCGCGGGGCTTGAGGGCGGGGCTATGGAAGGCAGAGGGTGGAACCTAGAAAAGGCAGTCCCACCGTTAAAAGGACCAGTGGGAATTAGGCCTTGGGACTTAGGACTTGGGAAGGGGATCTGGAGGAGGTAGACGGGAAGCGAAAGAAGAGGTTAAGGAAGGAGGGAGGCCGGACTTTGAGGAGGCAGCCTGGAGGGGAAGGGACTCTCCAAGATGACAGGCCAATGGGAGGGAGAGACGAACCCACCTTTGGAGTAAAGGAGAGGGGGGCCAGGGCCGTGGGGGGTGTGTGAAGAGCGTCCGGCGGATGCAGAACGTCTTCCCAGTCTCCTGCGTCCCAGCCTCAGCCCTGGTGGTCTGGGCGGCTCATAGAACTGCCCCTGGCGCGCCTGAGTCTCCCGGGATCCCCCACAAATCCTAGCCGGGTGCCTCGACCGCTGCCATGGCAACGGCGTCTCGCGCAGACGGCTCCAGGGAGGGGGCGGGAAGTTGCATCACGAAGAAGGGGCGGTCCCGGAAGTGCGTCAGCTTTCCCTCCTCGGCGACGACTCCGTCGGCCGCCGCCATCTTGCGAGCTTGTCGTATCGGCCGTGCGGGGAGCTGCTTTGACGCAGCACCGCTCACCTTCAGCGAGGCGGACTGGCAGCCCTGAGCGTCGCAGTCATGCCGGCCGGACCCGTGCAGGCGGTGCCTCCGCCGCCGCCCGCGGCCACCGAGCCCAAACAGGTACCGCGACCCCCGCACCTCGACCGGCAGCCCGATCCTCGGCCCGTGCCCTCCGCTCCGGCGCGGGCGCTCTTCACTCATGCAGAGAAAGAAGCGGCCGCTTACGAGGGTTCGGAGGGACTGCAAGTCCCAGGAGGCAGCGCGCTTCCCGCTCTGCTCTGCCTTCTGGTAGCAAAAGAAGCGCTCTTGGAACAGTGGTTCTCAAAGTGTGGTCCGCGGACCAGCAGCATCAACGTCACCTGGGAGTTTATTAGAAATGCCAGACCTAAATACTAATGCATTTTAACAAGATTTCAAGGTGATTGATTAAAGTTTGAGAAACACTGATCCAGCCCATCCGCAGGTTTTCTGTGGTTATTGGGCCCACCGTCGTGTCCTCCCCCAGCCCGCCGGTTTTTGCCCAGTAATGCCTAGTTTCCCAGCCTGTACGGTACATTTTTGGTAATTAGCATCTGCTCGGTGCTTATCTAAGCCAAACACCGTGCCAGGCTCCGACTTACCCAGAATGAATGAAGCACAACTAGTTTAGGGAGCTCACAATTCTAAGTGAGAAGATAGATACAAGTGAATATTCTACTATTGCTTCGATCACCATAAATGATACCAGTTAGCACTTAAATTAGCTGAGGGGGAAAGAGGTATGTAAATAATTGCAGTATGGTGTGATAGACCCTATAAGTATCAGATACAGAAGAAACTAATCAACATTTTTTTGATGGAGTGAAGGGGAAATTAAAGTAGGTAAATTGCTTTTAGAGGGATGAATTAGTAGTTTGCCATTCAGGTGATTGGAAAAGGCTAACAGCATCCTTTATTCATTAAGCAAACATTTATTGAGCACATATTGTATGGTGACCCCTGCTTTGGGTTCAGAATACAGAAGAGGTCCATACCCTTACCACAGATACTTTTAAGTACATCTGTATCCCTGGCATTTTCCCAGTCACTTGGGGAAAAGTAAATGAGTTAATACCAGATAATTGCTAAGACACCAGGGTAGGAATCAGATGGTGTCTCTGGTCAAGAGTAAATTAAAAAGCGTTGTTGAAGCATAGGATTGGGAGAGTGGTGGCAAAAGATGCATTTTGGGGCATTTTAACTTTTCCTAGTACACAGTGGGGAGAAAGAGAAGAGTTTGAAGCTGCATAATGACATTTGTGTTTCAGAAATTCAGGTAGCAGGTAGTGATGAGAATTGCTAGGAGCACAGTTACTCAAAAGATGCTGAGGGCCTGCCCTAGATGTGAGGGGTTGGGACAGAGTGGATGGGCAAGCTCAAGTCACAGAATGGCTGGTGTTGCAGACTCTCCAACAAAAGTGATGTGTTGGAATCCTGGTTCTGCCATTTGGACTAGTTAAGCTTTACGTTCCTCTGTTTTGTCATCTGTAAAATGGGGGTAATGAGTATTCACATCATAGGGCTCTTATAAGGGCCATAGAGTTAATATATTTAAAGTTCTTAGAGAAGTATATGGAACCTACTGCGTGCTTGATAAATATTATCATTGAATGTGGAGGCCGAGGAAGGGAGAGGAGGGCCATGTTTCTGGCCTGGGTGACAGTGCATGGTTGGCCATTCATGAGGAAAGCGGTTAGAGAGGAAAGTGCCTGGAAGTCAGCTGGATCTAGAGTTCTGTGACACGTTAAGAATGATCTGAGACAGTTTGGGGGGATTGTTCAGCCTAGAGGTGGTAGGGGAAGTAAAGGACATAGTTGTGAGTGCCTGAGGACAGTGTGAATACTGGAGAACCCTAACATAGCGCAGGAGTTGGGAACCCTAACATAGGGCAGGAGGTGAAACAGGAGCCAGGAAGGAAACTTGAATGGTGAGCAAGAAGGAAAGACACAGGAGAATGGGGCATGGGAGTTGAGTGGAGAGTTTTGTGAAGGAATGGTCACTGGTCACATGACCAGGTGACTGCCGTAGTTGGCTGTAGGCAGTCGTGTTTGACTTTGGCAAGAGCCCTTGAAATGGCAAGTGCTGAGAAGTACAGTTCTCAGGGAGGTGAGGAAGTGGGAATGGCAAAGCTGAGAAAATTCAGGATATTTAGCTACTAGAGGAAGAGGGGGAGAGCATAGCAGCAGGAAAGAATATGAGGGCAGGGAACTGCTATTTTTTTAAGATGAGAGACTGACCCTTTGTTTACTAAGAGGAAGAAGCTGGTGAAGAAAGAATATTGGAACTTGTGGGACAGATGATGTTGTATATTCCAGTGGGGTTTCACAAAACATTTGAGCATTGAGTGGTGGTTGTGACTAGAATAGGTGCAGAGGGAAAGGGCATAAGGAGCTGCCAGTGAAGAGTTTCCTGTCTTTATTCAGCAAATAGTCGTTAATTATCCCGTGCCAGGCACATCCCTGGGTACAGACATGGCCTTCTGGATTCTGGAAGATGGTTTCTTAGAATGCGGTCAGACACCCCCCCCCCCGCGCCCCCATTTGAATCATCTGGACACTTGGTAAAAATGCAGATTCCCAGTGTCACTGAGAGCAACTAGCCTGGGGGGTGCCACGGAGGCTGCTCTTTTCACTGGTTCCCCAGGAGAGTCCTGTGCAAGCACAGTGCAGTTAAGAGAACTGCTTTTCTGGAGCAGAGGGTCCTAACTCGAGGAAAGTCCATGGGAGAGAGTCTTTATTCTCAATAAATTTTAGAGGAGTTTGACAGTTGGGATCCAGTCCCCCAGGCCAGGAACTTCAAGGCATTATTTTCCTTTTCTTGTTTTCACAGCCCACAGAAGAAGAAGCTTCTTCAAAGGAGGATTCTACCCCCTCCAAGCCAGTGGTGGGAATTATTTATCCTCCTCCAGAGGTCAGGAATATCGTCGACAAGACTGCCAGCTTTGTGGCCAGGTAACATAGCTGCTTCTGCGTTGCCAGCCTAGGCCCATGAGCTCATCTAACACTACAGCATGGCGGTGAGGTGGGCCATGGGCAGGATTGATGTCTCCAGCATGGCACGGCAGTGGCAGAATGTGAGTCACACCCAGCCCCAGAGTCACCAGGAACCTGTGCTTCCAAAATAGGCCTGAGGAAGTGCCTAGGAAGCTATTTTGTCACGGAGAGTATGTGTGTCTGTGTCTGAGCTGCTGATTGGAGGAAGACATAAAAAGGGAGTTGGTCATTCTCATTATGCAAGAACTGTACTTCTCTGAGCTTCAACTGGTCCATCTGCAGAATGGAATAAAATACCACCTCAGAGTTGTTGAGAGGCAGGAGAGAGGGAATGGGACTGAGTGCAGTTCAGGCACATGATACAAGTGTCAGCTGTCTTCGTGGATGACATGGAAGTCAGTGCGAGTTCCTCGCGTCCTTCCCCATCATATTTTACATGCTCCCACTTCCTCAGATGGAATCCTCTTGATTGTCACTTGACTCCAAAGGTCAACACATCCCCTAGTTTAAAGTATTTAAAGTATTCTTTTGGCAGTCAACAGGCCATATGCAGCCTATAGAGCTTTTGTTTGTCCTCATGATATATATTTTTTTAAAGATGTATTTATCAGGGAGGGAGGGAGAGGGGTGGGGGGTTGGGCAGAGGGAGAGAATTTTAAAGCAGACCACCCACTGAGTGGGGAGCCTGACACAGGGCTTGATCCCAATACCCATGAGATCATGACCTAAGCTGAAACCAAGAGTCAGACACTCAACCACCTGAGCCACCCAGGTGCCACATCACAATATATTTTTTTTAAACTTGAATAAGTTGCCACCGTTTAAAAATGAGATTGAGGTGCCTTGGCTCACTTGGTTAAGCAGCTGCCTTCGGCTCAGGTCATGATCCCAGGGTCCTGGGATCGCGCCCTGCATCAGGCTCCTTGCTTGGTGGGGAGCCTACTTCTCCCTCTCCCTCTGCCTGCTACTCTGCCTGCCTGTGCGCTCTCTTTCTGTCAAATAAATAAAAATTCTTTTTTTTTTTTTAAGATTTTATTTATTTATTTGACAGAGACACAGCGAGAGAGGGAACACAAGCAGGAAGAGCCACCCAGGTGCCCCAATAAATAAAAATGCTTTTAAAAAAAATGAGATTGCACAAAAAATCTGGATTTCTGTCTTTTGTCAACGAACTGGACAGCTCGTTGCATATAAGCAGTTGCTGGCCTAGAACACACTGCTGCCCTCAGTCAAGACATGTGTTCTCCAGAGGGCCATGCCTTGACCCCAAGGCAGTATCCCCATCACAGTACATCATTTTAATAGAGGGTTCCTTCCTTTCCCAACCTAATAAAATGAAACATAGAAAGAGGTTATTCTGCCTGAGGCCTTTTGCTTATTGGGCTCCATGCAGATTCATATCCTCACATTTCAAAGGCTTTGATTAATCAGGGTATTGCATTAAATCTCTGTGCTTGGTTGAACAATGTCAGGTTTAGGGCAGTAAGTGTTGTGTTTATGATAAATGTTTAATGTCTCATAGCAACGCTCATGCTTCCTTTTTCGCCCTGATAATTTAAAAACAGTAACTAGGAAAAGGGTGTTAGAGGAAGAATCACCACAGTCTTACTACCAGAATAGTTTCTACCAGCTGTTTTCACTTTCCTGTTTCCTTCTGGTCCTTAATGTCCTTTTTTAGATCCTTGTAATACTAGTAGATACTTTCACATCCTGCTTTTCCCTTTTATGCTGTGTTATAAGCATTTTTCCGTGTTGTTCTACGGTCCTCTGATACTGCACCGTCCTCGGTGCACCATGTTGAGGTGATGGGCCTCCCTTGACTTGGCTGTCTCCTCTGTATTTTCCTTCAAG